CCCCAAAACCCCAAAACCCCAAAACCCCAAAACCCCTCAGGTTTGTTAACTAATTGAAGCAAAATAAGGTTTAGAATTTACTAGGATGGGAAAGATCATAGCTCTCCTTGCAATGTTTGCATGCTCTTCTTTTCTTGCCACTGATATTGACATAGTACCTACTGCAACTTCCACAAAAGATTTTGCCACAGACTCTTCAATGGTGCTTCCTCTGAAAGAGCCAAAAATCAGTACTACAAATAGAGCATGAGGTGACGTCTTCATCTTCTTCCCAAGTGGTGCAACTTATGTCAGACTCTTGGATTGATTGACCATATTCTAAGGGATATTGATGAAACGTTCTGCTTATTTGAGCATTTCTACTAAATTTTCCATCTATATCAACTTATTATATATTGTCTAGTGCTGTACTTACTGCTAAATCCTTTATGAGCAAATGTTTCAGAAATTTTTGTGTATATGTCTCCCAAGTTGTTAGGACCATCGTTTCTGCTCCTTGAGAAATTTTGCTTTCCAACTTGATTTGTAGTTGGGTTAAAGATTATTATATTTGGGTGATTTCTCTCGTCAGCTCAAGCACTTGGACCTATTTTATAAAATTATAACAGTAATTCTATTTGGCCAAATTCTATCTTCGAAACACATCAATATTAATAACACTAGCATAAATTTTTATCAAGCCATTTTTTTGCAAAAATCACCAGCTAAATTCAAAAATATTAAAAAGTGTCCCTTGCTTAAACTATTACCTTGTAGGTGGATAGTACAAGAAGACTCTTTGTCTTCTTCAGAGGCATTTCATTCAGATATTTTATCATCCACTCTTCTCTCTGAAGAAGCTTCTCTTTTTCTTTGTATCTTTAATTGAGTTTGCAGCATTTGATTCAATTTAATGATTTCATCAACTTTGTTCAGAACGTGGTTATAGCTAGACTCAAAATTTCTATTTTTCTCGTTAGAGACATCATCAGCTTGATTAGAACCCTCAAGTTGAGACTTAGAATTTGTAAGGCTTCTATGAGACTTGTTTTCATGAGTACTAGAGCAGTCACCATTATTTGCACTTTTTAGAATAAGCTCGTGCTCGTCAGATGTACTTTGTATCATATAAGATTCATCATCAAATTGATTTTTGTTGGACTCAACATAATCATCTAATCTTTTGGCAAGACTTTTATATTTATAAGTCTCTTTAGTTAGAAAGGTCTTAGCCTCTCTATTAATATGAAGCTGCTCTTCTAATTGGGATTTTAGGTCTTCCTTTTCAACTAGTTCACTAAAATTACCTTCAGACATCTCCTCCTTTTTCTGAAGATTTTTGCTAGAAGCAATGGAATCTTTTGGTTCTTCATACACAGAAGAGTCAATATCACTCCTTGTATCGGAAAAATTGGTGTTTTTTTTGGCTGGGGTCTCATATTTCTTCTCTAAGGTTTTACATATCGCTGAAAGCTTTCTTGTTGTTCTCGAGTTGTTATTCAAGTTTATTTTTGAGTACCTGAGCTCTATTTCCTTCTTCTTTAAAAACTTTTCATTGTTTTTTCATCAGGTAGAGGAAGTTAGAGGCCTTATAACCGGCTTAGGATCAGGCTTTTTGCATTCAGAATGTCTACTTATTTTCATTGGAAATAATTATTTTATCTCTATTCAAGTAAGGGCTCCCTATAAGGGGTTTTGGGGTTTTGGGGTTTTGGGGTTTTGGGGTTTTGGGG